CAATGTTCACCTTGCAACCGCTGTCTTCTAAACAACCTTGATGCATATTTTCGCAGTAAATTCGTCATTGATCAACATCATTCACCAACGCTTCTAAGGGTATCATTTAATGATACTCCATCGTTAAAGGCATATTCAAATGGGCACACCTCATAGTATGTGGCAATGCCCTTTTCGCGAGCATAGGGTGTCTTCTTTGCAGCACTGCCTGGGGCACCGATAGCCGTATTCGAGGGATTCTTGAGAGTCCATCCTCGACCATAGGCAGCGATTCCGATAGCAATCTTGCGGCGTGGCATGCCTTGAGATGCCCAAAACTTGGCTGCGTAATCCTTAAAATTCACTCATCAATTGTGTCTGGTTGTACATCCAGAAAAAAGACATTATGAATTCACTGGGAAGTGCAGTGATAAGGTGAGAATATAGAAAATGCTGTACGGTGTTCCATGTTCGTTGTTTGGCGTTTTCATCGGAGCGACTGTACAGGGGACTGTTCATGTCAGTTTTTGACTCCCAGGCACCGTGGAAATCGTACGACATCAACATGATGAAATCCATATATCTGAATGTGGCCGATAATCAAATTTTGTCAATGAATCTACCATGCAAAAGGTTTGTTCTCTGGATTCAGAAAGAACTAGAGAAAATTTTGATCGAACGTATTCATGGAAATTTACTTTGCCATTGCAGGGACGTCATATCCGACTTCAATTTTCGACTTAGCAGCCGCAACAGCAGCAGTGATCAGGAGGCGGGCACGTCCAGTCCTCGAAGCCTCCGCATCGCAAGCAGCTCTCATTTCCTTGACAAAGAAACACATCAGTGTATTATTCCTCAAAGAACCTCGTCTAATTTTGATTGTGGCCCCGTTTTTACAAGCGTATTCTGCATTCAATCCTAATTTCGGAATGCAGTTCAGCTCATTATTTTTACCACAATTGCCTATGCAGACCTACACTATTAAATTCCATGTTTTCAGAAACGTTCAACAACAAATTATCACTGAAACTTTCTGAATCATTTGAAATATCTCAAGAAGCAACATTTCCAGTTAGTACTTCAATGATCAATACAAGATGCTTGAAAGAAATGACACAAATATTACTTTTATCAGAGCTGCATAATTACTCTTATCATCAGCATGAGGATACTCCCAGTCGATGTCGATTCCATCGAAACCATGCTCTCG